ACTAGCTGATGTGGACACGGTAGCTGGTATATACACACTATAGGAATAGCTGGGGTGGGCGTTAGCCAGTGTGGACACGAACTCTTGTGGACCCTTCGGGGCGTTGACGAGGGTCTGGACCCCTTTCAGTAACAGCTCTGTCATTCCTGGGATGTGGGCTGTTGTTCCCAGGTGCGCTTGGAGCTCTGTACCAGTTAGGGCAGGACCAGGCAGGAAATGGAGCGGGCCCTGGTGTCTGTCCGTCATGTGCCACATAGCCTCCATTGGTACAGCGTCCATGGTCCCATAAGGTTATCCTAGAGTTGAGAGATGCTGGTCATAGCAGACATAACCAGAAGTAGCACGCAGCTGTCTGCACATAACACGTGTGCCTCATGTCTCTGGTGCACCTCACGATGGCTGCCGAGGTATGGGGGTACATGCCGTACCCATGGCCCCTGTAGGAAAGCCCATGGCCCCTGGCTTAGGTCTGTCAGTGTGTCCATGTGGAGGTGCCCTCCTACGGTCAGAAGTTCCCTGTCTACTCGGGGGAAGCAGCACCCAGTCTCGAGTCCCTCACACATGGTAGCATTCTTGGGGTGAAGCACACTGTGCCTCACAGCAGAGGCAGGCACAGCGGAAGTACCTGTTTGGAAGTGAGGCAGCTCACTGAACAAAACAAAGGTGGAAACTTCAGCAAGTAGCTCCGCCCACGATGTAGGCATGTCTGCACACAGGTCGCTTAACATCCTACTTCACAGAATGTACTGTGGCTAGGGAATTGGCAGTTTAGACGGGTGTTGGGGCAATGGGGTGACAAGAGCATGGCAGCTCAGGGGTGGGCCCCAAAGATCTGTGCCTCCGACCTCAGAGGGGGGCGGAGGGCTGAGGTGGTGCCATTGCAGGGGGCTGGCAGGGACGGCGCCCATGATGGCAGAGCCGGCTGAGAAGGGCACCAGGGCTTCGAGGCAGCACATCGGACCCTGGTTTCTACGCTGGTGCTAATAGCAACACTGGCCAGTGCCCAGATGGTCACGAGCCGAGACAGGGCCAGAGAGCGGGGCTCCTGTAACCGTCTAGGATGGTATCTGTCTAGAAAGCAGGGCTCTGTTTGCCCATGCTCTTCTCCAGAGGTGACCCGCACACACCAGCTGGGTGCCGTTGGTGCAGACCAGCACGGGCCCGGCGCCAGGGGCATCTGGTGAGCACTTAGTTGTCTCTCACGGTCTTCCAGAAGCCTGCCGTTCCCAGGGAGCTCTGAGGCACAGCCGGCTGTGCATTGGGCAGCCAGTGGCAGGGTCAGCAGTGTGAATCTGCTGGCCTCAAGCTCTGGGGAGCATTTCTTCAGACTCCCTTGTGCTGGAGCTGACTTGCTGGCAGTGGGCTGGGTTTAAGGCTTCAAACAAGGAGCCCCGGAGGACCGAAAGGCCGCTGCACCAGAGAAAGGACCCATGGATCGTTTCCTCTAAAGATGGCACGCCGAGAATCCCGTGTGCTGTGAGAACTGACGCCGTGTCCCCTCAGCAGGAAGGTGGTCTTGTTTGCACGTCTTCTCTCCCAGCTCATGGCTGGTCCTTGGCGGCTCGGCTCAGGGTAGAGGGTTAGGGCCTAGAGGCCTTTCGTGGTGCAGCTTCCACAAGCAGTTGGTGATGCTCCGAGTGCTCTGAGCTGGTTCTCGGTCAGAATTGGTTGGGAATCTCACTGACAGTGGAAAGCCCTGGAGGAGAAGGCTTAGACATCAGCCCAAGGTTCCTACCTGGTAGTTCTGGAAAGACAGTGAGAACTTTGGGTTCTAGAAGAAGGTGAGCTTGAGGGAGCCCTTCTGCAGAGGGCCCGCAGGGTGCCCTCTCACAGCTCTAGTCCAGACAGACAGACAGACGACCAGGAGGCTGGCTGGTGTTCAGCGTGACTCAGGGAATTAATCCGAAGACCCGAGCTTAATCATTCAAGCTCTGAGTCTTCTGAGAGGTGAAATCAAGAACACCTCTGGGGTGATTCTGACTGCCCCCTTATCCGAGAAGGGTGATGTCGCCCACCTCTCAAGTTCTGGGAGACTCGGGGTCCTCCTCTTTGCTGTGGCCCCGAGACCCTGACGGTCACTTTGTTTCCGACAGAGGCGGCCTCAGCAACATGCTGTTCCAGTGCTCCCTGCCCGACGCGATGGCCACCGTTGCTGACGAGCCCCGGACCGTGCTGCTCCGGCTCTACGGAGCGATTCTCCAAATGGTGAGCGCCTGCGCGGCTTTGGGAGTGGGAGGGGCCGTGTTAGGTTTGATCGTCCTTTCCCCTAAAGTGTCTGGGAAGAGAATGAGTGTAAGTATTTGACTGATGCTCTCGAAGTATTGCAATAGCGGCTGTCACTTGAGCTGGGCTGCACAGCTTGCCCTACTGTTTTGCATCCTAAGTCCATTCCTGTTTCTAACAGGCGTATTAAGTAAATTAGTACAGATATGGCCCCGGTTTTATACACAGAGAAGAGATCATGCTGGTTAAATCTCTAGTACTCGCTTTTTCTTTTTTCCATTCCTTTCAATTGTATCAAGTTGGTGAGAATAGACAGCAAGACGTGCACCAATCTTAACAGCTTCTACATAAAATCAGACGCCATTCTGCTTGGCTAGCCATTCTCACCCCCTCTTTCCAAGAGCTCTCCCAGGAGCATGAACTCGCTGCCCCCCCTGAGGTCTCATCCCATTCTTCCCGTTGCGAGAGTCATTTGATCCCACAGAGATCGGAGCAGAGTTTCATGCCCATGGCAGACCGTTGACGTTAAATTATTGTTTGGCTTTAAGAGAACCTCAGTGGGTATTTTTGGTTTAAGATGTAAAGATTATCTCGGGGCAATGGTTGAGGAGTTCACCCACTCTCTGTGGCTCCAGAAAGTCTAGAGTCCATGAGAAATTGAGGTGCTCTGTTGGGCATTTTTTTGGAAATCTTTGGAGCTCTTACCCTGAAATGTTCAGCGTAGAGCTAGCGTATTCCAGTCGTGCACGGAAGGCGCTGCGTCTACAGCAGAATCCCCGCCATCCTGGAGGCCGCTGCCTGCTGGAGGAAGTAGGCGCCCAGTGACTTATTAACCTCCCGTGGAGATTTCTTGAAATCTTCGCATTTGTTAGATTTGCAATCTTTTAAAATCTTTGATATGACTTAAGTGATTTTATACAGTTTAGTTTGTCATTTAAGTAGATCATTTGAATTGCCTGATCAGAGCAATGATAGGATACTATCAATAACCAGGTTTGTTGTTGTTGTTTTTAACTATGCTGTGAACTTACTGACCATGTGGAAATGTTTGGTGGGTATTTCTGTGGAGAAATTAATGCCGGTTTTCATCTTCTTTGCAAGGGCCCCTCATAGCTCCATAAAGGAGAGCTGGTTGGTGTCTGATTTAATTGTTTAAAAGAATAGTCTGTTTCGGCTCTTATCTACTCAGATTTAATTTTTTTGAAAAGTCTGTTTCACCTGGACCCACAAAGCGGTTTATGTCCACACCTGGATTCTTTGACTCCATCTTTAGAAATCGTAAGGTGGAAGCCTGCAGTCTAGAAGTGGATTTGTTTAAAACTCAGCAGCATGGGAACGAACCTTTCTTTGTCTCACTGTTCCTGACTGTCAGGCTGCGGAAGCAGTAAAGATTGGACCGGGCCGGATCCCGTCAAGCAGGTCTGCAGGTCCCATAGCTCTTCCACAGCAATGTGTGTCTTACCACAAAAGCCGGGGGTCACGCTGTCAGGAGGTCCACCCAGCTGGCCCAGAGCCAGGGCCTCCGTTGAAACTACTTCGCAGCCACCGGCCCCTCTGTGGTGGTGCTCAGCAGAAGATGCCAAGTTCAGCTCCCCTGCCAGCCCGGGTTTCCATGTCATCGAATTGCACTTAGTGCGCAGCCTTTGAAGGGAGCACTCCACAAGGTCCCTCTGGTAGTTTTAATGAGCGAAGCCTTTTCAGTAAGAACAGTCTCCTGCTCATTTGCATTTAAGCAATCCTTCCACAGCCCGTCGGTGGCCCCCTGCTGAAAGGGCAGGTGATGGAGCCTGTGGCGTGGGAGTCTGACAAGACTGAGCTTTTCTTCCTGACGTGAGTGGAAGCTTTCTCTGGGCGCACATTTTTGCTCCTCCTCCAACCAGATGCAATCAAGTAACTCAGGAAAGGACATAGGATCATGGAAGCCGCTTCAGATGGATTGAACTCGCTTGACTGGTTTCCAGAGCGACAGCGGGCACTTGGCACATCCCTCCCCAGTGGTGTTTTTGCCAGACTGATGTTGACTGAGTTTCTCTTCCCCATGCCCCTCCACTGACGAAGCCTGGGAACCTGCTGGCGGAAGCATTCTGGATAGATTTTGTTCCTTAAATGAAATGAAAACTTGCTCTGTGAGTAAATAGGCAAATGTCTAACCATCACCCAGTTAACTAGACAGCAGACGCCTTTTCATCGAAGGAAAAACATCCGCCATTGATTCCCTTCACGGGGAATCAGCAGAAGGAGCCCTGAGCCCGAGCACACTTCTCCACGTCTCCCTTCTCCTTTTCCGGGCCCAGCTGTCAGCTAGGCGTTGTGGTCGGTGGACAGCGGGGTGCATGGTAGAGGTTGCTGAGGAAGGCTCGGGGACCGACCCCGCTGACCCTCCTGTGTCCCAGCACCACCCCAGCTTCCTTCCACATGGCTCCCAGTCAGCCTGAATCGCCAGTTCTGTGTGTTTGTTTGAAAAGGGCGTGGAGCACTCATTTGCTGGTTTATGAGCAACTGTTTGGAATCAGTCCAGCCTGTAATGGAGGAAGGGACATCAGTAGTTTATACAGCCACCACATAAAGGCCAGACTGGATAGGAAGTGGCCAGAAGGGGTCAGGGCAGAGCCCCAAGAGGGAACCACATGGCTGACCCATGGTGAGGTCTCAGATGGAGGTGAAGGGGCACAACGAGGGCTCAGTCTTCCTGCCCCGTTGCTCCTCACTCGGCCTCACAAGCAGGCAGCCCTGCATGCGCCTTTGGGCCCCCACGGGGAGTGTAGCAGTCGTTCCCCCCCATCAGCCCCATCAGTAGGGCAGTGGGAGCCTTTAAGGAGTTAGAATGTGCTGCTGCTTCGAAAAATGGCCCTTGGAGACAGCGCACAATGACAGGCCCGGTTATTCTGTCCCAGTGTGCGGCTTCACAGTGTGGCCCGTGGGCTCGCCTTAATCTTCTGTCCCCTCTTTCCTTGTCTCACTGTGGTGCTGCGAGCCCCAGGGTCCTCCAATGGCGGCAGCAGCGAGGTGGCTGCTCTTGGCTTAGTTCCTTCAGGGTTAGTAGCAGGCCACCCACGTAAAGCCTTGTGAATGGGGCTGAGCTCAGTTTCTGTCCCCCAAATGTGTGCCTGCAGCCCCTGTGCTGTATAAGACGAGACCTGGCAGACTTCCTCCCTGTGGCTGGAGGTTTTATTTGATTGGTAGGGCCTTGTGAAACATCCTGGTCCCACCAGGGGATGAATGAGTCCTTTGTAATCAGCACGGGAGAAGACAATGGTTCCTAAAACCGCTGTGCACGATCTATGCTGTGCGTGGTGCATGCCGTTACTGCACACGCAGCTGCCGCTCTGATCACGCACTTAACACGGTCTGTTTCACACAGACTCGTGTCCATCTCGTAAGGCGATTATTTCTTGATGAACTCAACTCTACAGATCACCCCTCACTAAGCGAGGGCCACTTCGAAGATGTTTTGAGACGTAATAGTTCTGCCTTTCCATTGTGGGAAGAGAGGTCATCCCTAGAAGAGAGCCTGCAGCTGTCTGCTGAGCTGGAATGTAACTGGATCTTTTTCCTCTCCAACACCGGAAGGAGCCCGCACCTGACAGCGCCCATGTAGCCGCCTTTGCAAGGAAGCGAGTGTGGCTGGCTGCCCGTGCGTAGCCGGCTTGGTTGTTTACCACGATGGCAGAAGATACAGCGTCTGTACCTATGTTCCCTCTGTGTGACCTGTGCCGATTGGCTGACGGCTCGGAGGCTTGTTTGTCTGCCAGGTATACTGTGAGCATGACTGCAGAGACCCGGCCTGGCTGTTCCCCGTGCTCATAGGCGTGAGAGTCCACACACGCACCGCAGGCCTCCCTCCGAGTGCTGTCTGAAAAATGTTGATGTCCTGAGGGGAGGAGGGGGTGGTTGTAAGTTGTGGAAGGGCTAATACTCGTGCATGTTTGAGTACTAACCATAAAAAGATGAAAGGTGTCGAGGCACAGAGCAGATACTGATAATTTGAAAGAAAATTTGGGTTTTGAAAGCAGAAAACAAAATGACGTGTGTCATGCCACACACACACACCCCCCATTCTTCCTGAAGTCAAAAATAAAAAAAGGGAACTATAGTAGAATAAGAGAGAACTCAGTGATAGTGATATTAAGTCCAGGCTGTTGAAAAGCCAAGTGGCTGTTTACAAAGACTGCCCGTAGAAATCAGGTCACACTTGGTGTGCACAGACAGTGCCGAGCCCTGCCAGAGACGTCCCCAGAGGCTGTGAGAGGATGCCTTGTTCTGAAAAGGTGACCGGCAGTCCCGGCTACAACTCCGACTGGCCCTTACAGGCCGTGTGTAACTTGTTCCTCCCTTTGAAAGGATTGGAACCACCCCCTCCTGGAAACAGATTCTTCATCAGAACCCTCTTGGCTTGCTGCATGTGTTGTGCTTGTATTTCACTGAAAAGGCTAACGAAGTCCCCATGCACCAAACCCACTCTCCGCCCACTGGCTTTCAGTGGGCCCCATCTCAGAGCGGCCCTCTAGGACGGGGTATACCTGTCCGTTCAAGTCGTTGTTGCCGGAGCAGACCACGCCTTGTCTTTCTTCCAGGGAGCAACCGCTGGGTTCAGTCCGCTGTGTCACCAGGATATTACCGTCAGGCTGAAAAGGAGCTGTGACGACAGTCCGGCACGCTTAGCCAGGGGCTGCCTGCAGTGGGAAGACACTTTCTCACTGACCTTAGGTCATTGGGAGTCGACATTTTTGTTTATTCTGCTTTTTAAAAATGCCCTTTCATATCCCCTTGTATTTGGAGTACAGTGTCATGATCCCAGGTTTCTAAGCAGAGTGAGCAAACAGCCCTCTGAGACAGGGGTTACACATTTTGCCTAGTGTCACCTGATCCATTGCTCCGACCCAGTGTTTCTCTGGCAACTACTCTCCGGAGGCACTTGCCAAAGGCCACGGGCCTTCCTTCTGTGCCCACCTGGTGCCGCCTTCTGGTAATGTAATCCACCTCAGGCGACTGTCTCTACTTTGGACACGCTCCAAATGCCTCTGTCTTGCTGGGGGTCCAGCTTCCGGTCCCTGGAGCGCAGACCGGAGCGCAGCCGGCCCCCCGGGAATATCTGTGTCGGGTGGCGTGAGGGTGTGGGAGACGCGCCACTTCAGCTGTCTGTGCATGTGTTCTCTGCTGCAGGCTTACCCATGCGATCGTGCCAGGTGACAGACACGATTCACGGTACAGTATGCGGCCTCGGGAGGCGGAGCCCCTCTCCAGCTGTTGGTCTTTCTCCCTTTTTGTCCTTGGGCCCCCAAAATGCTTTGTACAGACACAGTTGTAATGCTTGTTAAGTGGCACCAGCTACAGTCTGTGCTGTGCTTTAAAAAGAAGTACTGTGATAGGGTGTCAAAATGTTACTCAGATTGAATATATCCCTTTTGGGGTATTTGTTTTATTTCTGCCTTTTTTTTTTAAATTTTTATTTTTAGCCAAAGCAAAACAGATCCCCCCACTTCTGTTTCCTCAGTAGAAAATGACGAGCGTTTAGTACTTTTAGAAATACCTGAGCCTCAACCCTGCAGATGGAATCTGGGGTCCCACTGCCCTCCATGGCCTTCTACAATCCAAAGGGACTCACTTAGGGACTTCAGCCTTTAAAGAGATGCCACCTAGGCACATGGACCCACCTCCTCACCATCAACTCGTGCCTCTCCCAGGCCCCAGCGGGGTCACCTTTCTGAACGTCCCGCCTAAGGTCCTGACAGCAGCCCAGAGAGCCTGAGACGTGAGGACGCTCCTGGGAAACTGTTGCGTGCACGCCACCCCCAGGCGTTCTTGCCTCAGCTCGGTCAGCTCTGGGGGATGGAGACCCCCATGGGTTAGCCGGCTGGGGAGGTCCTGTTCGCTGGGCTCCCACACGCCTGGGTGAGCTAGCTCGTGGATTTAGTCTGCCCGTGTAGTGACGCCCATCCAGTAAGCCACTGCATGTGTTCAAGGAAGTTGAAAGCATCACATTACTTTAGGGTGGGCCGTGGGGTAATTAACATTCTTCTCAAGACAAGACTGAGGTGGTCAGGAATCAGGAAGACTAAGTTACTGTTGTTCCCAGTGCTCCTGCAAGCCTGTCCTCTAGAAGAGTTTCAGAAAGCTGTCAAAAAAGCAAAGCACACACAATGTTTCCATTCCTTTCCTAGCCATCTGGGAGTAGGACGGTCAGGCCCCCTGCGAAGAACCCAGACTGCAGTGAGGGCACGGATGAGTCAGGGCTGCTGAAGGCTGGAGGATAGCAGGGTTCTCTGCCCCCAGCAGGACCTCACGTGCCGTCGTCACCTTAGGGTGATGCCCTTCTCTCAGATGGTGAAGCCCAGAGGGGATAGGGGCTGCTCGCGCTCGCTCTCTCTCTCTCTCTCGCTCTCTCTCTCTCTCTCTCTCTCTCTCTCTCGTGCCTAGTTCCTTAGTCATTCATTTGTGACTCCCAAGATGTTTAAAAGACCACAGCCAATTTACTGACTGAGCCATTTGGTTCTTTTTTGCAGGGAAAGAGTGTTACATAAGCTCCTACAGACTCTTTATTTGTAGTATTACATTTCTGTTGTCACAGTAGTATTACAACATTATGACTGGTGATGATTTCTTTCGTAAGTGCCGTTTTATTTCACCGCCTGTCGTCTTTGTAGCCGACTCCGCACGTCTTCCAGCCTGTCCACAAGCAGGTGGCCCAGTAGCACCGTGTATCTTTACAGAGGTCTTGAAAGTAACTCTCAGGTGTCACAGATGTTTTTAACGGCCTTTGAGTTAGCCGTAGGAGCCCTGCTGGTGAGGTGGTTCTGCGTAGGACTGCTCAGTTCAAGGTCAGCAGTGCCCCGTGGGAGAAAGACAGGGCTTTCTACCCTCATCAAGTGTTACAGTCTCAGAACCCCCAGGGGCAGTTCCCCCGGGTTCTACAGGATGCTGTGAGTCAGCCTCAGCCCTTTGGCAGTGAGCTCAGCTTTGCGTGAGAGCAGTCTTTCTTGAGCTCGGGGACGAGCACAGTTCTAGGGACAGCTAGGTGTCCTCCCACATGGTGCAGCTGAGTGTCCCGTTTGGTTCCCCTCCTGACTTAACAGGGACTGGTCAGGTGACAGGGGTTTCCCAGGCCCGCTGGCAGAGGCAGGTTGAGGAAATGTACCCTCTCAGGGCACCAGGTCTCTTCAACCGCCAGAGACGGAAGCTCCCGGTACACCGGGTTGCTTAGAAGAGAACGCTGTCGAAACCGAAAGCTGTGTTGGACACAGTTGAACTCAATGCTAGTTTCTCATTCCCTCCTCCAAAGCAAGGGGATGTTTGGAAGTCCTTCATAGTAGTAGCATTACTTTCATCACCTTATTTCAAGAGCCAGCACCTTTCACCGTGATCTTTGCCAGAAAGAGGAACATTGGAAACCTGGTACCAAGTGTACTGACTATAATGAAATTGACATGCACTGTAAGCGCTCCTTGATAAATCATAGAATTTAGATTTTTAGAAGCTTAAGTTTCTACTGTACAAATTCTTGACCACACAAAGCAAACTTAACTTCAGAAACCGCCTATAGCTTTAAGAGCAAAAGTGGAGAGATAAAAATCACCCCCTGTGGTACTGTTCCCCTTTCACCCATTCCATTTCCTGCTGCGCAGCTCGGCTTCCGATAGCTCCTCTTGGGAACGGAGCCAGATCTAGGGAGAATGGGCGGAAGGAAGGAGGTCATCTCCAGTGACTTTCTCAGCAGCTCTCCGCGGCATCATTCACACACTGGACACACGCAGGCCAGTGATTTCTAGCATCTTTAGAGTTGGGTGGCTTCTTACAGAAAGAAGCATTTTGATTTCTCGGGTCTTGATATTTTAATGCTTAATTTTAGATTAAAAAAAAGTAATTATGGGAATGTGAGGCCCATACAAAAGTGGACAGAAGGGGTAATGCCCACAGGTATCCACTCCCCACTACCCTTCCCCTTTTCCCCTGGGGCTCCTAGGGAGCAGATTTCACCAAACACCCACTCCATCAAGGCGACTCCCCCTCACAGTGGGCCCTGTGGGACAGAAGGGAGCTGGTCTAGAATGAGTCTTGAAGGGAGCAGCTGCTGGGTTGAAAATGCTGGATACTTACCCCGTCCCACCGCCAATGCTTCCTGAAGCACCTCCCCACCATCCTGGCGATTTCAGTTCCCGCAGGAGACGCTGGAATAGGTTGTCACAGAGCTAGGCCGAGAAAAAGGACACGTGATGCTGAAAACAAACATTCCAATACCTGTGCCAAAGTCCACCGATTCCCAAGGTCTTGGAGTTCCTCTCCTGGCCTCCCATCCAGCGATGTGAGTGGGCCCCTTCCCGCCTCACCTCAGGGCTTCCCGTCCCGGGACCGTGCACCTCTCACCCTTGTTAGAGACAAGGCGCCAGGGAACCCGTTCCTTCTCTGCTGAGGAAACAGACCAGGGCGTGGATCACGCAGAAGCCCACCTCACCTTCCTGATGGTGCTCCCCGAGGGGGGGGCCGGGCCGGGCACATGACACAAGGGCACATGTCCTCTGTGAGATGTTAAAGGGATGGTGATGGCACTAACCCATTTGTCACTTTGGATGACATGGCTTTCTTCCAAGAGCACCATCAGATGGGGAGAGGGCCTTCTGTTGGCTACGTGGCCCGTTCACTGTATCTCCCTAAGAAGATACAGTTAGAGGAGGGACCACTTGGGTATAACGAGGGGTATGTAGAATGTTCTGCAGGTCAAATCCCGTTACAGCATGTTTCAGATGGTCTCCAAATTCCTGATGTGTTAACATATGAGTGTTAATGTATATCAAACTGTAGGGCCTCCTTTAATCTTCCTGCAGGGAGGGGAAGTGTGGGAAATGATGGCATTGGGGGGGAGGGGCATTTTAATCTTGCTATCTCGTTCTATTGAACAGCGTTGCCGGTGTCCCCAGGGCTGGGATCATGGATGTAAGTGCTCCCTTGTCTTGGGTGCCCTTGGAGTTTGCTGGCCTTGGGCCACATGGTCCCGAGTGCCTTCAGCATCAGCATTTGCCTGGTGCTTTGGGGGATTCATCCAAGGTGGTGCCCCTCGTCCTTTGGGGCTCCTGGACCATGTGGAGAAGTGACGCCTCGCGTCTACATGGCCAGGAACAGACTGGAGTGGAGGAAGAGAAAAGAAAAGCCTCCCTAGTTACTCCTTCCCGGGGCCACGTCTGGCTTCCGTCCAGCCGTCAGCAAAGGCCCAACTGCATTTGGTGGTATTTTGATTTCGTGGCATTTGGTGTAACGGGATTTAACCTGCAGCCTCTCTCATGAGAGCGATGCGGAAGACCCAGGTGAAAGTACCCTCTCCTCATTTGTATTTGCTGTCCTCTGTGCCAGGGTACTGCACTGTGTGTTAAAAGCCTTTGAAGATCATGTACGTGCAGGCATTAATCATTGCCTTTTGCAGATAGCTTCTCCACGGACATGGGTTATTGATTCTGTTGACCCTGGCTTGAGCGGGACGGACCCCCGCAGCCTGTGTGTCACAACAGCCTGACGCGCCTGTGGGCTGGGGGCTCCGGATCTGCTGTGGGGCCTGGCTGCTGTCAGCCACTCGGCGTTCCGGACGGTGCTAGAGTAGCTGGTGTTGCTTAACGAGGCGTTTTTCCCGCCCACACCTTTCACCCTCGGCACAGGTATTTTTGATAAAGCTGTGGAGTGGAAAGGTATGTTTTTGTTTTTTGTTGTCTTTTTTTTTTTTTAGGGGAATGTTCAAGAATTTATCACCGTAACGCTTTTTAAGAGGCTCCTCCCTCATGTGTCTGACTTGAACAGACTTTAATTGTAACCACGAGCCACCCTCCTTTTAGAGGCAATGCTGATGTGTACATTTTTTTGACACGCTAGTTAAGTATTTGCCTGGAAATACCTTTGCCCATTCCCTTATCTTGAACGATTGTATGAGGTTGAAGCCCTTTGGGGGGTGGGGGTGGTCTGTGCCACGAAGAAGGTAGTCCCGATGCTGGTGGTCAGTAACGATCCAGTTGGTGGCTGTTGTCAGAACCCTGGTTACCAGGGCCCTGCGGTCGCATTGAGGAAAGTGAAGCAGGCGAGTCCTGTCATGGACCCACGTGTGCACACAATCCTCTTTAATGGTGGCGGGGCTTTCTAAGTAGTCAGTGATGACGGCCACCAGCGCCTGGGCATATGGCTCGTCCCCCCGGCCTGCCTGGCTGAGTCCTCACTGGCCGTGGCGTTCCCAGGTGTGCCCCTGCCCCTGGGCCGGCGTTGGCCTGCAGGACCACGCGGCTCTGTTAGCAGCCAGCCAGCACGACCATCTTGCTGTAAGACTGCTGGGAAGAGCGTGCTCTGCCTACTGTCCTCCCGCAGTGAAATTGTTCCGCGGCTCGGGCACGCAGGGTGGCTGGTGAAGCTTCCGCTTTGGTCCCCCGGCACAGCCCTTTCCCCCAAAGAAGCAAAGCTATCTCTGAGGTGTCGGTACCCGAGGTGGAGATGTACAGGGTCCCGAGGTGGCTGCCGGTCCTGCCCATGGGCTTGGTGTGTTTGTAAGCCCTGACTGCCCTGCTGCTGCCACCCGCGTGTTCCCGTCTCACCAGGAGTGTCTGCTTCTCTCGTCCGTAGAGGTCCTGTGATAAAGAGGAATCCGAGCAAGCTCAGAGTGGAAATGAGTTTCAAGTAAGTAACGAAGTCTGCTCTGCCCCTGCGCGAACTGCGACCGCGGTGCCTGCCGCCCTGGGAAAGCCCTCCTGGTCAGTCGTAGAGGGAGCCACCGCAGCGAGACGGACTGTGTGCAGGGTGGGCGGCAGGGGCCTTCCGGGCAATTGAGGCAGCATGTCTTGCTGGCCATCTTGACAGCATAGCATCTGGGATGCTCAGAAATGGACACTCTGGGTGCATAGTGTCCCAATGCCGCCAGCGCCGGTGTCTCTCATGCCTGTGGCCCATGCGGAGAAAGCTGGGTCACTCACTGCCCAGCTGCTCTCTTCCCTGGGGGCCCCATTGGGCTTCTTCCCTGGCTGAACAACCTTGTTTCCTGAGCTTGAGCAACCCCAGTCTCTGCAAAGGTAGCAGGTTTGAACTGGGAGAGCAACAGGAGGGTCCCCGACCACTTATGGAGGCCCAGAGTGGGTGTCTGGGCAGTGAAGCAGTGACTTCTAAGACACACACACACACACACACACACACACACACACACACACACACACACACACACACACTGGTTTTGCTAACGGTATACTAAAGATTAAAAAGTAAAAGCCAATTTGCTGTTCAAGACCTCTCTACAGTTCAAAAGCAAAGATGCCCCTCTGAGGACTGAGGGGCACCTGACCCCAGCCGTGGTATTTCAGTCACCTCAGGTACATGCAAAGCTGGGCAGCGAATCAGGAAGACCACAGAATTGGTGGTGCCTTTGAGTGGCCGTGGGGGGGAGGGGACTGTTGGACATACCACGGACCTTCAGAAGAAGGAACGCATCTGTCTGGCCAGAATGCCTGTACTTTGGGCGCAGTTATCAGGAGAGGGACACGTCTGTCGACAAGGACGTCGTGCCAGGAAAGAGGCAGACCCTGACCGAGGCGGGTGACCTGGTGGTTGCAGCGATGGGCTCCAGCCTGGCTCCGTCATTGGGACGGCTCTGTGGGACGTGACTCGGTGACCCCCGCAACAGCAGCGCTCCCACAGCTCCTGCTTCTCAGGGTGGGTGTGTTGCCTTCCTTGCCATGACACAGGCCTACAGACTTTTGCTCGGGGCCTGGACTGGGGAGAGCCTTATTCAGTCTGCACCCCCACCCCCACCCCAGAGCCAAACCGGAGCCTAGCAGGAAGCAGGGAGACAAAGCAGTTGTCCGGCACCCACCTTCCAGAGGGTTGTTAGGGTGTTGGGAAGGAGCGGGCTTCTGAAGGGTGCCGGGATCTGAGCAGCAGGTCAGAGCGAGCACACCTGCGATGGCAGAGCCTGCCTGCGGGGCTCGCAGGAACGAGAATGGCCTGAAGCCCCAGGACGTGGAGTTCCCCTGCCGAGCTTCCTTCCCCAGTGACCTCAGACGTGACCCTGGGCCCGAGATCAAACTCTGGTCGCACACACCGCAGACCCCCCTTGATGCCCCGCCCCCAGAAGTGTCCCCAGGCTCCCACGTCATAATTTGCCCGCTCGTCTTGACTGGAAAGCACTTTGCTGTCGGGGCAGCCTCCTGACTCACTCGTAGGGAGCCTGGAGAGCCAGGTGGCACTGCCTCGCGGCCTGTCCCAGGCTGCCATCACGCTCCCGCCAGCGGCTGGTGGCCTTCAACGTCAGTGTCCGAGGGGGAGGGTTCCCCTCCTTTGTCACATGGCCCTTCCGCTTCGAGGTCTCGGCTCTATCCTCGTAGTGGGGAGGAAGGTGTCTCGTATCTTTGACCCGGCACTGCAGACGTGCTGTGGTGGCTTCTTGGGGTCCGTGGTGCTAACAGAGTGTGTTACTGAGAACGAACCCTCCACAGGAGCTGGGGGAGCTTGCTCCCTCCCTTCCGCCCTGCCGAAGCCAGCCGGGTTGACCTCACCAGCACCTGACGCGCAGGCCCCCCAGTCCATCCTTGTGACAAGAATGCTCCTTCCTCTCCCCGGCTCCTCTCGCTGCTGCCCCGCTGGGGCTAGTGTGGTGGGCAGCCCCTCCCCTAGGAGGGCGTCCAGTGCCAACTGGTTGGTTGGTGGTTTGGGGGTTTTCCCTTCTAAATGGGACTGATTGGTCAGTCACAAGTCAGAATGTACACAGACATGCACAGCTCGGTAGCCTCTTCCTGGGCATCCAGCGCCATGGCTGGCTTTCCGGCAGCTGGGCCGCCATTCCCACCCTCCTCCTCCTCCTAGTCCTTCCTCCCTGCTGGCCAGGCACTCTGGCCCCAGGGGGAGCTGGGCCCGTCTTTTGAGGGGCTCTTGTTGCTTTGACCCCATGAGAGAGTGCCTCCAAGAGCATCGTGCTCACAGCCGGCCTTGCTCGGCTGACGATTGGTAACGGACACCAGGCAGTGGGTATGTGTCAGACTGGGTACTCGAGCAACCCACCCCCACCCCGTTTGCAGTCAGAAATCTCGGAAAAGTGTAGAGAGAAACAGAAAGCCTTGCCCATTTGGCTGGAAGAAATTGATGTGTGGGGGTTAGCAGCAGCACCCATCTATTCGAGGAGCTGGTCACTTGTCCTGGACCCTTCTTCAGCCACCCCTCTCCCTAGGCGACCTCATCCAGGACTCCAGGGTTTGTGTCTTTGAGCAGGCGTCCTCCCCTCCCACCCCCACCACACTCCACGCTCCGTTACCTCTCCTTTGCCACAACCACCCAGGCTGTCGGTGTGGGGACTCCCAGAATGTAAGCTCCCTGAGGGCTGGGGGCCTTCTGTGCCCACTCTTGTTTCCCAGGTGCCTGGCACAGGCACGGGTACCCGGCACGTGGCTGGACTTCTGACGCCAAAGTGAAAACAGTATTGATCATCTCTGCAGAGAAAGCAGGGCTGTGTTCCTGCCATCCCCACCCCCAACAGTGCTAGGACAATGCTAGAAGATTCCAACGTGTCCCCATCGCTGATATGTGGGCTGCACAGCTCATTCCACCGGAGGCCCGGGCAGCGCTGTAAGCGTGGTGGCCATTTCCCAGCAGTTCGTGCTGACTTCCTGTCGTGTATGGTCAGTCTTCCAAGATGGCAGCTTTGGGGAACCGTGGAGAGCCACCTAACTCCACGTGCACTGGGAAACCAGGACAGACGTGTGGCTCGCGCACTTCCACTGTAGGCTTGATGGTGGTGACCTAGAGCATGTCTTCAAGCCTGCCTGTCCTGGTCACCAGTGTCGGGCCAGCCCAGTGCCCTGCAGCCTGCCGTGCTGCCCAGAAGGGAGCTGAGAGCACGGTGATGGCTGCGGAACTCGGGGTGCCTGGCTCCAAAACCCCACTCGCTGGCGATGGCTGGGGACACGGTTGGATGTTTTGAGGTGGGAGATTGGGCAGCCGGCCGAGTGCTGCAGAGAGCCGCAGCCTGGCGGTGCCTTCATTTCGGCCCTGCGTGTCAGTCCCGTGGCCACGGGGCTCTGGGCTGCGTTGCCCAGGCTGGCTGCTCCGTGGGCGGCAGTGGCGTGTCCGGTGAGAAGGACGTTCTCGAGCCTGTTGGGTACGGAATCTTGCTCCGGGGGCAGGAGTTTGGTTGCTGGCATGTGCATACCAGTGTTGCCGGCTAGTAAATAAAGCCCTGGCTCAGAAGAGGGGCGAGGCCATCTGGGGACCACCGGCAGACTGTCCCCTCACCCTCACCCTCACCGCGGAACATGCCCGGAGCGCCCTCTCGGTCTCCCGGCTGCTGGACTGGACGCCAAATCTGCTGGAGGCACATGGGCCCTCGCCAACCCTGAGGATACTCTTCGCCTTCAGAAGCGATGGCCCCTGTGCCGCCATCGCACCAGGCAGTGTGGGAAGCCCACAAATCACAGGGTCTTTGCCAAGAACCCCCTTTCCTAGGAGTGAGAGTTGAGGTGCTGTAGTGGCCGCGGCTGCCACCACCAAGGAAGGGCACCTGGCACCCAGCACCCACAGGAAACGTGGGCCTTGTCGTTGCAGGGGGCCGAGGCCATGGTCCTGGAGAGTGTGATGTTCGCCATCCTCGCTGAGCGGGCTCTGGGCCCCAAGCTCTATGGGATTTTCCCCCAGGGTCGCCTGGAGCAGTTCATTCCAGTAAGTCCTGGGACGGCCTCAGACTCCCAATGCCATCTTGTCTGAAGAGAGACCTTGTCCCCAAAGTTGCTGGCAGGGTCTCCTGATGCTGCCCACCTAGGCTGGGCCCTTGGGTGCCTATCCTCTGATGAGCCCACTCCTCACTCCCCGCTGCATCTCTGGGCACATCCCACCACACACGCTCACTCTCCGCACATGTTCTAGTTGCCCCACGGTGGAGGATGTCCCACCCCGTGTGCCCTCACCCCTGCTCAGAGCCTAGTTTGAATCCCCATTTCACGAAGTCAGGGCTCCTTGAACGCTGACCAGTGTGTTGCTGGGACACTGACGGTGAGCCGAGTGTCCCTGCCATCGTCCCAGCTCCGAGATGCAATGGGCAGTGCTGGGCCTTCAGTGAATGTGCTGGCTGGGGGGTGGCAGGGCTGGCGGCCTGCACTTTCCCTCACAGGCCCCAGTACTGCTGGCCACCCTGCATGTGTGTGCCTGCGTGCACAAGGGAGGGCCGGCAGGAGGCTCTAGATGTAGCCACCACTGGGCCCTGCCCATGCCTAGGGGGCCGAGGGCGGAGTGCAGTGCAGTGCCCGTCAGACACTGGCCCCTGCGCCTCAGGGAAATGTGTGTTCCGTTCCAGAGCCGGCGATTAGACACCGAAGAGTTAAGTTTACCAGACATTTCTGCAGACATCGCTGAGAAAATGGCCACCTTTCATGGCATGAAGATGCCCTTCAACAAGGAACCCAAGTGGCTTTTTGGAACCATGGAAAAGTAAGTGGGTCAGCTCCGGGCGAACGTGGCTGATTACACTGAAGACCCTGCCCTGCGGGCTCCAGGAGAGGCAGTGCTTTGTGGGGCTCGTGAGCAGTTCCCGGGAGACAGTGTTTGGGAAAACTTGTTGGCAGGGTTGGAATCACAGGTGGGGCAGGGTGCTGACCCTTTGCCCTCACTGTTTGGCAGATACCTCAATCAGGTGCTGAGAATTAACTTCACCGGGGACAAGAAAACAAAACTGCACCGACTCCTGAGCTACAACCTGCCTGTGGAAATGGGGAAGCTGAGGTGAGCGAGCGCTGGCCTGAGCAGCACATGCAGCCGGGGAGCGGCAGCGGTCTCGCCGTCACCGGCATGGGCACTCGCATGGTGCCTCGGCCGGCCGTGGCGTTTCACTGGGGGCGGGGGTATTGGTACTTTCTCTCCTTTTGTATCTGTGTGTGTGGTGGTTTGGGTGGAAGGCTCCAGAGCCGAGCAGTTTTCTGCTCACCCATGTGGACACACTTTGTCCGCCTGTCCTGTCCCTCCCTCCAGTCAGTCAGCGGGTTTCCTGAAGGAACTGGGATTCCACATGGGTTTAAGCAGAAGGTGGGTGTGCTCGGGTGGGCAGAGTGGTCTTGCTCGTGTGTGCATGCGCGCACGCTCACGCGTTTTCTGGTGTGTATAAAAGTCTGTGAACTCGGGCGATGAGGCGGGGCATAGACATTATGGAAGAACTTGGAAACACTGTGACAGCGACCAACCTGTGGCTCAGACACTGGGCGGATGCTTGCTGCGGGATGTGCTGGGCGCAGAATTGCCCAGACCTGGAGGCCGTGTCTGGGCTGCAGGGGCCTCCACTGGACAAGCGAGTCACAAGAGGCTGCCCTTGCTTTCCAGAACGCTGCTCGAATCCACTCCGTCTCCAGTGGTGTTTTGTCACAACGACTGTCAGGAAGGTAAGGACCGCTCCCATCCTGCTCAGGCGGGCCGTGTGGCTGACTCCCTGCTCCCAGGTCACCCTGGGCGTGCACGAGCAATGCAGACAGTCACAGTGCGCAGCCGCCGGGGAGGCTGGCCTCCCTCTTGGAGACTTGGACTGCCGTGTGGATGTGGTAGGAGGAGCCTCCTGTTAGGGAATGCCAGTCCCTGCCCCTCTGTAAAATCTGGACTCACAGAGAGCAGGGCGGGCGGGGCAGAGCCTGTCTGGTGGCGGTGCTCCCACTCCCGGATTTAAAATTTCCCTGGAGCATCCATCGGGAAAACCACCCAACCAGCCAGGGAGAAAGCAGCTGGCCTGTGTCACCAGGCCAGGCTTTGCCCTCCGCGCAGCGCAGCGCAGCGCAGCCCAGCCCCTCCACCCGGTTCTTGTGTTCGCGGTGGCCGGGCCCTCTGCTCCAGAAAGCGCCCAGGCCCTGGTGCCCCCACTGCCCCAGCCTGGCCCTCAGAGGTCCCACCCCCCCCCCTGCGAGGCGCAGCTTTGCCATCACTGCTGGGAATAGATAACAGCGCTGTGTCCCGGCCAGGCCCACCATTGTGCCTGTCATTTTGAGAGTTGTCCCCAGTTGATGATAAGCAGGCAGTCGGAGCTAGGAGGCAGGATGCCGAGGCTGCTGGCTGTGGGCATTGCCCTCCTGGAGGTGGGCTTTCTGTCCATCCCCGAGAGCTTGGCTCAAGTGGTGGCCGAATGTGGAAGGGGCTCCGGCTCTCTTCTGCATCCTCCGGGTCAGAGCCCGGAGTCACGACGTGGTGCTGGCCTCTCTCAGGTAACATCTTGCTGCTGGATGGCCAGGGCGGCTCTGAGAAGCAGCGGCTGATGCTCATCGACTTCGAGTACAGTAGCTACAACTACAGGTAGGGGTAGAGCCCCGCCCGGGGCAGCCCGGGCCCCTTGATGAGGTGAGAAAGCCCAGGCGCTTGATGAAACCCTCCCCCACTTGGTGGCAGCCCTGCAGGGGTGGGGGTGGAGGGGGGGGGGGGGGGGGGGGGGGGGGGGGGGGGGGGGGGGGGGGGGGGGGGGTAGGGGAGGGTGTCAGGGCGCAGTTCTTTGGGGTCCTGTGTGCTGGGCCCTGTGCACGTGCGTGCACATGTGTACATGCCCCCACTCGTTGTGCCCTCACGACTGCAGGGGCTTCGACATTGGCAATCACTTCTGTGAGTGGATGTATGATTACACCTACGAGAAGTACCCATTCTTCCACGCCAACCTCCTGCACTACCCTACCCGGAGACAGCAGGTAGGCCCTCGTTCCACCCTGGCCCTTGTTGCTGAAAACACACCCAGCCACATAGGCGCCAGTCTGAGATAAAGTCTCACCACCCCCACTCCGAAGGGGCATTCTGGCTGCTCCCCGCCAGCATGTCCGACCGCCCTACACAGTGTTTGCCCCGAACTTAGGGGTGAGCTGAGAGCAGCAGGGCCCACTCACTGTGTCCCTCACTTTCCAGGCCCGCTCCCGAGAGGCCGCTCCAAGTGGGTGGGACACGGCCGCTGTGGACCCGCGCAGAGCTTAACACAGTCCTTTGTCTGTTTTGTTTCCTAAGCTCCATTTTATCTCCCACTACTTGGCTGTCTTCCAAAGTGACTTTGAAGCTCTCTGCAGTGAGGAGAAGTCGGCGATAGAGGAGGCTGTGTTACTGGAGGTCAACAGGTACGGTGCCTCTGACAGTAGAGGCAGGCAGTGCACCTCGGATGTGTGTGGGCAAGGAGGCTTCTGGGAGCGCTGGCATCACCAGGCGACCCTAGGACTTGGGTTTCGTCAGGAACAGGACATTGGGTGGCCCAGGGTTGCGGCCCTTCTGGGTCAGGCGTGCGGCACGCCCTGTGTGCAAGGCAGTCATGCATGCACCTGAGTCCCAAACTTGGATCTGCACATATAGACTTCCGTGTAGTCATCAGCCACTGCGGGTCAGTCGGTCAGCACCAGCAAGGGTTGTTTGTGTGACGGGGGTGGGGCTGCTGGAAACGGAGTGGAGGATGTGGGGTGACATGAAGTGGTTTATGTGGGAATGGTCAGGGGCTCTTAGGAACGTCGAATAGGCTCCCCCAACCCAACACAGGCACTGCAGGCCATGGGGCTGATGCCATGGGCCCTGAGTAATAGAGCTGCCGCCCAGGCAGAGCCCAGCCTTGCCAGTATGGCCAGAGGCCCTTGCTTACATCCCAGGAATGAGAAGCCTGTGGGTGTGTTTCCATCGGGGAGTCTGTCTGCTGTTGGCCGCAGGTGAGTGGGGTCAGGAGAACACAGGGCCTACCTCCACCCGCACTTACCCAGGAGGCTCATTGGTGCCCATCAGGCCTGGCGGACACCGCTCGTCCCTGTGCCGGTGGACGACAGTGCCATTTGTGCTTGCAGGTTTGCCCTGGCGTCCCATTTCTTCTGGGGCCTGTGGTCCATCATCCAAGCCAAGATCTCATCCATCGAGTTTGGCTACATGGTAGGTGTTTCCTCTGCCCACCCCAGCCTGGACTCTCGGGTGCTGGCCCCTCCGCCCTGTGAGCATGTGACCCCGGGCTGCTTGCTGCTCTAAAGATGCTTCCACCCCAGAGCCTCTAGGGCCTGCCTCGCCTCCCTGCCTCAGACCAGCACTGTATAGTGGGCGCTCCAAAAATCCTGCCCTTGCCAGCCCTGCCGCCGTTAGGTGGGGGCAGGGATCCCCACCCCATCGTCCAGTCCCCGGGGCCAATGAGGATAGAAAAGCTCCTCTCATTGTTGGAGGGGTCACAGCGGAGAGTGTCAAGGCTCAGTCTCCAGAGTGGCAGGGGCTCTGTGTGGTCAGCAGCCCAGTGTGTAACCACGGGGCTGGGGCTGCACCTTCAGTTGTTTTACAGTGGTTTTGATTCACGTGAACTATTTGGGGAAGGTGTTTTAGTGTGTTTTCTTCCGTGGGCGAGATCTGTACACTGGAAATGACAAGCCATCTCTCAAAGCATAGCCCTGACCTGCAGGTGACGGCAGCAGTGTGAGGTGCTGGGCAAACACGCAGCCCCGGGCTGCCTCGGGGCAGCCCCACTCATCCCTGCAGGGACGCTGGAGGTCAGGGGCAATGGTTTTCTTCTTCAGATGGTTGAGGGCTGGGGGACGTGTGACTGTAACAGTGCCCAAGCGTCCCCACCCAGCCCAGCCTCCCATGCTGGGGCGGAATGACAGGGCTCAGCACCCCTGTAGTTCCTGGGACGAGTCCTGGGGTGGGGTGGGGGGGGTGGAGTCTTGACCGGTTTGGGCAGGGCGGACAGTAGGCTGCCAAGGGGAGAAAGCCTGGTCTCCTGTTCCCCTCTGAGCTGTCCCTTTGTGTGCTGTCTCCTAGGACTATGCCCAGGCCAGGTTTGATGCCTATTTTGATCAGAAGAAGCAGCTCGGGGTGTGACCAGGGGTGGCCTTGCCACCCCTCACCACTGGACCACATGCTGCGGAGGCAGCTGGGCAGGGCCCCCTGTGCTCTCCTCTCTGGACCTGCGGCAAGAGGGTGCTGTTGAGGCCTGGCTCCAGCGCCCAGCTGTGTATGATACTAAAGACTGTATTCAAACGGAGTAGCCTTTCTTTTACATCCCGTTCACGACCTCACCAGCCCCGGAAAAGAGCTGGGGCCGCAGAACCCCTGTGCCCGCCGGCCTAGCACCCACCACCTGGGGCTGGGAGCCTGTGGGCAGTGCTGCGTGCTCCTCCCCCCTGGATGAGCGTGCCAGGACCCTGACGGGCTTGCTCTCCGTCTCTGGGGGGAGATACCGCTGACTCCGAGGCTTTACCTGGACTGGCTCCCTTGGCCTGCTGCCAGCGGTCACGGGGTGGACGCTACGCCCCTGGCTCTTCTACCTATCTGGTTACAGGCGGACTTGACTGGCTCAAGCTTTGGCACTGTGTCTCCAGGCCTGCTAACTCCAGCCTTAGGGCAGCCGGCCGTGCTGGCCCCGTGCCCACATCCTCCCACCCGCACTTGGACCAGGTTGCGACGACCTCAGAGGCACGCCTCGTGGTTCCCTGGGCATGGCCTCTTGGGTGACCTCCTCCAAAGTGCCCTTCTGTGGTCACTCTGGGGACCAGAGGCCTGCGTGGTATGCAGGAGCAGGTGAGAAGTTGTATGTATAAAGTGCCCATTGGGGTAAACCTAGATTTTTTTTGACTCTGAATTCTGATTTGACTTGTTTTTGTCACACATTCCTGCTCCCACGGAGACTGGACTATATGACAATAAAAATGTTTAAAGAAATACCATCGAGCCGTCACCTTCGGATGTGTCCTGGGACGTGCGCTACCTTTCCCTGCTGGCCCTCGGCCTGAATCATTCTCTGGGGCCTTCCCAGGGCTGCTCCAAAGGGGGTTATCTGGGAGGCCGCGCTGCAGGCTGCGCTCAGGCTCTGGCTGCTCCATCTGTGAGCCACCCAGCAGGCCGTCTCACTGTCCCCGGCACCCAGCACTTAGCCCTGCCGTCCCCCAGGGGCAAAGCCTGAGGAGTGCGAGGACCTGGGGACGGTGGCGGCTGAGGCAGTGGGACACAGTGGCTGGGGGCAGTGTGACTGTCTACCACCTAAACAGTGTTTCTACACCCAACAGCACAAGACAAAAGGCCCTTACTCCTGCTTAAAATTGCCAGCGTTCTCACACTTGGACAAAAAGGCCCCAATTTAAAAGGGGGGCCCTGGTGCCACCGTGCAAGTGCCCGGATGCTGACTAACAGGTTGAGAGGGAACGTCCACCCGCCAGCCTATGCAGGCAGTAAAGCAGCCAGCGCCTCCCCGAGGCCCTCCACCACTCAGAACCACCTCTGCCTCCACCCCACCTCCTGGCCCAGCCTCTGGCCCTCCCCCCAGAAGCCACCCCACGGTCCCTGGCCCATCCCCACCGGAGCGACTGGTTGGCAGTGGGAAGTCCATTCTGTTCTCAGTCTGCACGCTTGCCTGGCTCCTGGGCAGAGCTTGGCCATCCCGGGTCACTGACCAAGACCTCAGCCTCCACCTGCTACCCTGGCTGTTCCTGGCCCAGCTGTTGACCACACTCCCATGAGCTCACACCAGGGCCTGACCCCCCAGAGACCCCATAGTCATTGTCAGAGGCTGCCCCCACCTCTGAACCCAGATGCTGATACCCACAAAATGTCATGGTTCCTGGCACACTCCCTCCTCACTGCCCTCCACAGCCCGCCTCAGACCTGGCCACGAGCAGAGTGGCAAAGCCCCAGCAGATAGGGGGAGCGCTGCGGGCAGCACGTGCGCCCACCCAGCAAGGGGGAGGCCTACCCTTTCTTGGACCCTCAAGGCCTTTGGTGGGGGGCACCACTGCCCAGGCAGAGCCATCTGTGCCCAGCTGGGGCCAAGCCCCAGACATCCGCCAGATCCACAAGATGCACCCCAAGCCGGTCCTTAAAGCCGGTTTGCACACCTCACAGAGGGGGAACGCACTCCTGCACACTGGCTGCCTGAGGAAATTTATCTTTTGCTGGAATGTGCTGGAAGCTTCCTCCTAGGTCTGCCCCTGGGCTGCCCTCACCTCTGAAGCCAGATGCTGTTGCGGGACCTCCACACCACAGCATTACCCCAACCCAAGGTGCTTGGAGGGCTCCCCGAGACACACCCGCTCCCCCACCACCCCCAGAACAAGACAGGCTGGAGGCAGCTCCTGGACCTCACTCTTCACTCCTTTATTTCCTCCATCGGGGGATAAGGGCGGGGCGTGTGTGTGTGTGTGAGAGAGAGAGAGAGGTGTGGGGGCTATTCCTCTTCTGGGGCAAAGGTGAAAGGGTTCAGCTTGTAGCCAGTGCCCAAGTAGAACTTGTTCTGGAACTCCACCCTGGAGGGGAGGGCAACAGGTGGATCAGGTGGCCTCAGACCTCCCCTCACACCCTCCCCCAACCTGCCGGCACTCACCAGTGCAGCCGCAGGGCGTGCAGGAAGGCCGAGAGCCCCTCCATAACCAGCAGGATGGCCAGGGTCAGCACTGCGAAGGCTGCGAACACGGGCACCAGCACGGCCGCCGCCACTCCCAGCTCCCGCCCCTCACGCAGGCCCACGCGCATCACCATGGCCCACAGCACTTCCGACAGCTCTGGGGGCGGCACAGAGTTGACAGCCTGAGCTCACTGCCCACCACCCCCTCGAGGGCCTTGCCTAGGAGCACAGCAGGGATGCCACCAGGAACCCTCCCCGGCCAGGCCACTCACGGGCATGTGCCAGGCTGAGGGCCCAGAGGCGCAGGTAGGAGGCCGTGTTGGAGATGCAGCCCAGGCAGAACTCGATGGTGTGGATGGCCTGGTGCATGAAGACTTCCGAGAAGATGAACTGCAGCAGGGCAGGGGCCACAGTTAGGGGACGGCGGGGCCCTTGGCTGCCCACACCCCGCCAGGCAGGCAGGCCGGCCCCACACTTACCTCAGTGTGCTCCTCGGCCCCGGGGAACCCTGCCTTTTCCTCATCAGAGCCCAAGCCGTTCACGGACATGGAGCCATCGGATTCCAGGAGCCCGGCCTTGTCCTGGTCCTGGGCAGGGCAGCAGCATCAGCGACCCCCACAGCGTTAGGGGCACATCTCCCAACCAGCGCCCCCTGCCCTCTCAGCCTCTACTGACCTGCTGGGTGCCCGAAGGCTGCCTGGGCGGGTGGTGGCGGCGGCGACGGCGGTGCTGCCAGTGCAGGTACAAAGGCGTTCCCAGCAGCAGGACAGGCACCATGACCAAGGCCAGGACCACCAGCGTGGACTGGACCGCCTCCTGCGGGGGGCGGGGAGGGGGGGGCAGAGCTGGTGCAGAAAGGCCTACCGCAGGCCTCCCTCGGGCCCGTGCTGCACCCCCGCCTCCAGAGCCCCTCGTTTTAAACATGCAGCGAGGAGGGCTCAGCCTTCTAGAACCTTCTATGCATGAACTCAGAGCTCTACCCTGCTGCCTCTGGGTTCCCTCGGCCCGTGTTCCAGTCCTCTGTCAGACCAGGACACCGGAGTTCTGAGTGGGGCCCTGACCACGGGACCCAGGAGGGGTGTGCGGCTGGCTCCGCGGCCCCCACCCACCTGCCCACGGTACAGCTGCTGGTTGGTAGGGCTGCGGGAGAAGAGGAACATGTTGATGAAGTGGATGAGGATGCTGGGGGCTGAGGCGGCTTTGGCGACGGTGACACACAGCCACTTGTAGGTGACCATGAAGACGAGGTAGCCAAAGAGCCCGAGCAGGAAGACCAGCTGGGGCAGGAATTCCAGCAGCAGCCGGTGGTACTGGCCAAAGTGCCTGGGCCGGGTGAAAGGGAAGCGGGTCACATGTGCCAGCTCTGTTCGGCCAGGGCCCCCTGGCCCACCACCACCTGAGGTGCTGGCTCTCACACGTGGTTGAAGACCCCCAGGACCACCCCGAAGGCCATGTGGGTGACCCCCAGCACCACGGACATCTTCATCTTGAAGGAGTTCAGGAAGCTCAGGTGGTTGTCGGCCAGGCTCCAGATCTGGTGGGGCAGGATGGCACTCATCGCCCTGTCTGTGCGCAGTGGCGCCTGCAACACCAGGGCCCACCCACCTGCTGCCTCCCTGCTGGGCAGCTCTGGGCCTCATTCAGTGCCCTTACAAACAAGCATCATATACAAACAACCCCCCCCACACACACACACACATGTCTTTGTGTCTGTTACAGATAGGATGACTGCTCCTTCCACTAGAGAGGGGTGGCCTGAAAGGCGGGACCCACTCTATCTCTGCCCCCGAGGCCCCAGAAGGGGATGCAGCAGAGGGGGGAGGGAGAGGGCAGTGGGTCCAGAGCCCCCAGGCCCCTCCCACCCTCGGGCGGCACCACCTGCCTCAGAGCACCCAGGACTCACGGGGTCGATGCCAAAGGGGTAGGGTCCACGGAAGACACCGGTGACGTTCGGGTCCAGTGTGAGCAGTGGGTGCTGGGCCAGGTAGGCATCACTGTGGGCAAGTGTGATTTGGACGGAGCCAATGGGCGGGTCAGAGGGTGGAGCTGTGGGGCTAAGGAGAAGCCTAGCGGGCAGAGGGCAGGACCGTGCAGGCATGGGGCGGAGTCATGGCCTCACCTCCAACCTGATTGGTTGACCATGGAGGCCACGCTCCAGCCAGAGGGGAAGATGGTGGTGGCACGGCTGAAGCACTCGTTGTAGATGAAGCCGGTGTAGACGGAGAAGAGGCCCATGAGCAGGAGCAGGTAGCGACCCCCGAAGAAGGTCTGCCAGATCTGGGGTGGGGAGGCTCAGCACCATGAGGGACTGTCCGGCCCTGCCGCCCCGCCATTCCACCCCAGACCCCGCCAGACCCTCACCTCGTTTTGCGCAGCCTTGACCGCAGGCCGGTCCTCGGCCAGCACCATGGCTAGCGCGAAGAGGAACATGAGCAGCCCGTGGCCCACGTCGCCGAACATCACGGCGAAGAGGAAGGGGAAGGTGATGATGGTGTAGGGCGCTGGGGGTGGAAGAGGCAGTCAGCCGGGCCCCAGGAGGGTCCATGCCAGGGCACGAGCATGTGCCCTCCTGCAGTGTCTCAAGCCCCGGTCTGAGGCCCCAGACGGTGCAGAGGGACGTTTGCGTGTTGAGGGCCCGAGCCTGTGGGCGTGTAATCGCCCACCGCTTGCAGCTGTGTGAACTTAGGCTCCATCGTTATGCTCTCTGGGCTGCCATTTCCCTCTGTAAAAGCTGCCTCGGTGGCGAGGGATTTATGCTACTGGGCTGTTAATCGCAAGGTCAGCAGTTCGAAACCACCAGCCTCTCGGAGGGAGCGAGACAAGCTTTCTACTCCTGTAAAAAGTTGTAGTCTGGGTGAGTTCTACCTTGTCCTAGAGGGTCGTCGCCACGAGTGGTCAGCGGGGACTCGATGGCAGTGAGTTCAAAGGGGCCCTGGTGGCGCAGCAGTTAAGCGCGCTACGGCTGGAACCCCTCCGTACCCCCGCGGTCTGTCTGTTTGCTAAGAGCACAGCTCAGAAATCCTATGGAGTCGGTTGGGTAAGGTTGGGTTCTGGGCACGTTTGAGATGGA